GACTACAGCCCACTTCTTCGGATGCATCCGAAGTCCACGAAAGCTTATGCTCTAATAAATTTGTTAGTCTCTAAGGTGCCACAAGTACTCCTGTTCTTCTTTTTGCGGATACAGACTAACACGGCTGCTACTCTGAAATCTATTGATAGAGATTCTCTAAGCTTTACTCAGGAGGAGAGGATGGAAGAGGATAATGTAAGGGCCAGATCCGACGAGAAACATTCACATAAAAAAAAATTGGACACATCAGAAAAGGGCAGACAAATAAACAGTGACAAGTTTTTAAAGTGCTTGTATATAAATGCTAGAAGTCTAAATAATAAGATGGGTGAACTAGAGTGCCTCATGATAAAGGAGAATATTGATATAATAGTCATCACAGAAACCTGGTGGACTGAGGACAATCAGACACTGCAGGGGTTATATCTCATTGCCACAGGCAGTAAGAAGGAACCAAGGGATGACTGACCTGCTGTTTTTTATGCCCTATGATGGGGAACTTAGGCCCTAGGCACAGTCCCAGCAGATATCGCTGGTCAAAAGAATCTAATCTCACATATGGGGCATATGCACCCAGAAGCAGAATCCATGTGGACTATCACTTGAAGAGGATGGAGATAAGGTTAAGTATATAGCAGTAAATAAAGGGTAAAACATTACAGGGATGTTGTAATTATCTCAAAAAGAAACATTAGCAATTCAAAGTCAGGTGTAAAATGCACAGTTAAGAAACACCAACCTTTACTTCTATCTGCACTAACGCCAAGAGGAAAAAAAAGTGACGCATCTTCAATTTAACCTAATATTGGACCACAAACACTAAAATGTACTAAACATAATTGCAACTATATTGCATGGTGTCACTACATGACAGAGTTAAGGCTGTTTGAGCACCTTAACTGTGCATTTCTATTCCTTAATATGTTTTCATTTCTTTTAAGTTTATCCTTAACGCTGAAGTTCCTGGGTTTGTAAATCATGGTTTTGGCATAACAGAACAGTTCTCAAATGTTTTTACCCTGGAGCTACAGATATGTAATCAACTGTAACTTCATCATAGCACAGTTTATGTCTGGGAATATATTGTAATGTTAAAAATGAAACAGCAGGCTCTATTGTATAAAATATGGTTTTAAATGGTGTTTCCATTCTAGCTCAAACATTTTCTATTGTAAAACAAATGATATAGAATTGGAGAACATTTCATTTAAAAGTTACTTTGTGTCTTATTCATTTTCTTTGTTATTGTTTCCTAAGAATTCTCTTTTAAAAGTTAGGTGTACCTCAGTATACTGACAACCCTACCAATCATTATCATACTATATGCAGCTACAGATAAAGGCAATAGGTACATATTAATTAACAAACACCAATTTATTTTCTAACATATATTGCCAACAGCAATGAAGAGTATGCCTTTGGAATAGTTTGTGAGAACAGATTTAATGAGGAACATTTAAAAGACATTATAAGTTACTGAATACATTCATTGCTCTCTTTGACACAATCAATCTTCAGTTAGGTATTATCAGGTATGGCAACAGGACATACTTTGTTATATGGGCTAATTAACTATATTAATCTATTAAGAATCCTTTTTGTTGATCACTCAATTGATCCTAAACCAATGCCTACATTCAACTCTCTTTCTTTACACAGGCCTAAGAAAATTACAAGAAACTACAGGCACATATTTATGATTATGTGATATAAAGGAGGGTTTTTTGCGGGGGGTGGAGGAAAAGGGGGGCAAGGGTGATATAGACTGAAGATCTAATCCATCAGACATGCTGTGTCTAGCAAAGCAAGACCATATGAGACTCCCACTACAGGGAGGTCACTTGTGAGGTATAAAACACTCACATCCTCAGACCAGTCTGTAGACCTGAACTCAGATATCACCTAATATATCATCATCAGAGTGCCAAAGCTTTTCATAAACAAACAAATCCTTTGACCTATCTACCTGCAAATTTCTGTAATGTCTTTAATACTGAACCCATTTTTATTTCTACAGTTAATGGATTAATGAGCTATTTTTTTCAAACCATTAGCTTTGTGTATTAGTCAAAATTAAGTTTGTTCTTTAACAGTTTTTGCCATGCAACTGTTGAATACTACATTAAAAATAAACTAATTTAGAATATGCCTGAAATCAAACCTCTATCTTTTATTTAAAATGTTTAATGCCTATACTGTAAACAAATTAAAACATTATTTTCTCATGGAACATGTGAGACTTATAACTCAGCTTTCAAGAGCCAAAATTCTTTTAAATCTCATATAAGAATTTTATATTATATTTTCAACATATGGAAGTTTTTCAACTGCTTAAACATAACACAACGTGATTCCTATAAATAAGGAAAAAGACGTATATGGCTGACTGCATGGTTTTTAAACCACTTGCATTGGAACCTAAAATTTAACATTTTTCTTAAAGCTTATTAAGTAAAACTTCATTAATTCACACTTACAACTAGACAACTGACCCATTACATAGTTTTGAGTGTTATAGGTTAATAAAAACAAGAAAAAAGCGGGTAATTCATTAAAAGAATAATTTTATTCATTTGTCAACTGCAGGTTAGATTTATTTATATGTTAAGGTATGACAGCAAAATGTAATATACTAAAGATACTAAAATTTGTAAAGATACTAAAATTTAAGAATATGATATCCAGTACACTGTTAAATGTTTGTAAAAGTGCTGAGAGACCACCAAATCTGGTGCAGATTTCAGGCGTGGGGTTCAGTAAAGTGCAGATTAAAGACGTTTTACTGAATTCTAAAATGACACTCACAATCATCTGTTACTAGAATAATGAAGATTATGCTTGGTGGTACCAACAGGTAGGTGAAAGGTTTCACTTACATATTCTCCATATGTCTCCTGCGCTGGAGGTGGTGGCAGAGGCCGGTATCCTGCAGGTGGAGGTACTCCTCTTGCTCGGGGGGCTAGAAGTCCACGACCACGACTGACTGGACCTCTACTGGGAAGTACTCCCCTGGGAGCTGGTGCCCCTCTTGGTACACCTGCTGCTGGGGGTGGCACTCCTCCACGGCCCCTATGAACAAGAAGATAATTTTATTAAATACCATATTCTTACTCTTGGTCTTCCCTCTGCAAGGTTTTTCCCAGTAACTTGTCAATTTTGCTCCAATGATTACTTCTACAGCTCGCTAAGAAGAATGTTTAAAGGTTCTTTACAAAAGAGGTAATTTAGAGTTTGGCATTTGTATTTCACATTTTGATTCAGTTACGCTTAGTATGACAGTACTACCAAAGGCAAAAATTGCATGTAGGCGATTTTTTACTAATGTCTTGTGAAGGTTTCTGCTGATAGTGTACGTGGAAGCCTCCTAGGGAAATTATAGTAATCAGTCAATTGCACAACAAATTTAACTTGAGATGTGGAAATACCATCCCAAGAAATAAAGGATTATCTTGAAGTTATTATTGGTTACATCATATCCCTTAGGTCCATGCACAGAGAGATCACACCCATCTCCCTTCAGACCCTGTAAAGACTTAGAATCATAGAATATTAGGGTTGGAAGAGACCTCAGGAGGTCATCTAGTCCAATCTCCTGCTCAAAGCAGGACCAACACCAACTAAATCATCCCAGCCAAGGCTTTGTCAAGACTGGCCTTAAAAACCTCTAAGGATGGACATTCCACCACCTCCCTAGGTAACCTATTCCAGTGCTTCACCACTCTCCTAGTGGAATAGTGTTTTCTAATATCCACTTCTCTGCATGGTTCATGGAACATGATGAAAGGAGAGACTAGGTGGGGACAGCAGTTGATTTTCTTCCCTTTCTGGCCCTATGGAAACTACATTAAAAGATATAGCCATAGCTGTACACTTGTACTGTGGTGAGAGCTATAGAAACACATTAAACTTGCAAAACACAGCCACCTACTTGATTATCAGTGCTTCAAGTGGGAAACATATAACATCCCTACTTCAAGAGTTTTATAAGATTGCTATATAAAATTCAGGTGGTATTCAAGGTGCTGGTTTTAACCTATAAAGCCTTTGGGGTATGAGGAGTGGTAACATTAGAGAATACACTTGCCCACATGTGTGGTTTATGGTAGTGGTAAGATGTTTGCTGATGTGTGGAGGAGTACAGATATGTATTGCTTGGTGGCTTACCTTTTCATTTCCTTGCTTTTGTGATTTAGTGTCTGGCATGTGTTTAATTGTTCAAGTGGAGTGAATGAGGGTGGGAGAAGTTACCCAGAGCTTTGTCACAGAAGTGTAGCTGCTGACACAGAAGCTGCACTTCTGTGGCAAATAAAACCTTCTCCATTGTAGGATAAAATCCAACAGAAAAACATAGTTGCTGAAGGTAAAGATGTTATGATTGTGCTGAATAAACAATCAATAGGTGTGAAATACAGATAGCAAGTCAATTCTTCAGAAGTACTTAATCTACACACAAAGCTTTAGTCAAACTCCTTTTCTTGTTCTATAGGATTTATATTTGAGGATATGATGCAAGAGCAAAACAAATGAGGAAAAACCTATATAAAAATCTGTATGTCTCTTAAATGTAAAAAAAATAAAAAAGATAGTGGTTAGCTTACAAACTATACCTTCTTTGCTTAGTTTGTGTTTTAAAATCGATGATGGATGACCTTTGAAATGCTAGCAGAAAGACCTAGACAAACATCTTATTTCTTCCACAGAAAGGATTTAAAATGTGCACTTGGTATTCTGATTCACTTATCTACTTGCCCACATCTTGTAATACATCTAAAGTAACATCAACAAAACATTCCATTCTCTACCAGAGAGATAAATATACTCTGTAATTCATCCAAAAGAAGTAGAGAAGCAAGAGTGACCCTTGCAATTACAACCAGGCTATTAGAGAGAATACATTCTAGACAAGTCTGACTTGGGCAGAAAGGTTTAGACTCATCTGATATGATATAAAATAAGGAGGGCCAGGCTTGTCTTGTGGATAACATATTGGTGATGGGATCTATACACACTTTCTGTGTAACCTTGATTAAACCACAGAACCACTCTGCACCTCACTTTTCTTATCTGTACAATTGTTTTAATATTACCTTACATCACTGCTGAATATATTAATGTATGAAAAATTGTGGCACTGGCTGAGAAACATAGAAGTGTAAAGTTTGATCATAACAGAGCAGATACATATGAAATTACTCATAATAATTCATCAAAATATCAAAGGGCAAAACATTTTGAACAAGAGGATGAACAGTATGATTAACTGCTAGCTGAAGCTCCTACTTTATAGCTGCTTTTACAGGGTTTGCAGTGATGTGTCTGACTACCTGCAGAAGTGGCATTAAAGGAGAAAAAGCAAACCTAGCACTTTCCACTAAGGGATGCAAAGAAAGGGAGAAGAGCTTGAGGTCACCAGCAGGGTCAGTGCCAGGAGATATCAGCAGATATAGACCAAGAGCCAGCTGCAGTGCCAGACCCAGAAGTTTCAGGAGAGAGAAGTACTCAGGGGTGCAAGAGACCAGGCAGATACATGCAGGGAAGTGGAGGTGGTGGATGGGGAGAGGGGAAAAAAAAACCTACAGGATTCTTTGATGAGAAAGTTACCTATTTAAAAAGTTTATTAATTGACCAAATGTTACAGTTGTCACAAATGCCTCATACACCTTGCCTTCCTGTTCTGGTAGTCTAGAGTAGACCCCCCACCATGACATCACTCCTATTTTAACCCTTTTATCTTTACCCAGAGACTCTCAACTGGTCTGTCGCTCATCTCCTTGTGGACCTCATGAGAAGTGTATCTATTCTTTATGTATAATGCAACCAACTCCTCCCTTTTTCCCCTGCCTGTCCTTTCTGAACTAGCCATACCCCTCTATATCAATACTCCAGTCATGAGACTTATCTCGCCAAGTCTCTGTGATGACAATTAAATCATAATTTAGCTTATGTACTAATACATCAAGTTCTTCCTGTTTATTCCCCATACTCCTTGCATTTGTATATAGGCATCTAAAACATTAATCAGATTCTCCCACTCATTTCCTTCTTGTTCTCCCTTCAACTCTATTGTAATTTTCCATGTCCCCCCCCGCCCCCCGCATCTAACCCTCCGTTAAGATCATTTTTTATACTTATCTGTGGGCTTTTGTCACCTACCCCCATTGAACCTAATTTAAAGCCATCCTCGTTATGTTGGCTAGCTGGTGCGCAAAAATGTTCTTCCTCTTCTTGGTGAAGGGGGCCCAATCTCTTCACAGCAGAACTTCTTCCCAGAATGGCATTCCATGGTCAAAGCAGCATGTCAGCATGCCCTTTGGAGGATTCTCTCCATCCTCCCTACCAATTTTCTATGGGGGTTCTACAGGTCTTTGTCTTTGGTCCCCTTCCTCCAACTCTCCCTCTACACCTTTTTCTTGGGTAATCTCATCCCAAACACAAATTCAACTACCATCGCTGTTGACTCATATCCAGTTTCTCGTCCACTGTAATCCCCTCCTTTTCTGCACAATTATCGCTTAGCAAGAAAAGGACCTGGGGATTACAGTGGATCAGAAGTTGGACATGAGTCAACAGTGTGCCCTTGTTGCCCTTGTTGCCGAGAAGGCTAACAGCATATCAGGCTGCATTAGTAGGAGCACTGCTAGCAGATCAAGGGAAGTGATTATTCCCCTGTATTCAGCACTGGTGAGGCCACACCTGGAGTATTGCGTCCAGTTTGGGGAAGGATGTGGATGTAAATAAGAAAGAATGTGGATGAACTGGAGAGAGTCCAGCAGAGGGCAACGAAAACGATTAGGGGGCTGGGGCACATGACTTACGAGGAGAGGCTTATTAAACTTGGATTATTTAGCTTGTAGAAGAGGTGAGTGAGAGGACAT